TGGCAATTTTTAAACACGATTTAGCTCATTTGTTTTACTCGTTTTAAAATTCAAATATTAACTGCTGTAATTCTCCTGGCCTACATGCTCTCTTGGTCCCACCCCCAGGATAATCTTACGTTTTTGTTTGGGTGATTTGCAGTCTATCTTTCAGTTTTTTTTTTTGTAAAGGCAGTACTGGAGCAAGGTAACCCATGGATTGTAAAAGGGGGCTAGACTGGGGTCCTGCGAGCCAGAGGTAGACCTGTTTGTCAAACAGGAACTTCAGTTGGCATTCGCTTTCTTATTTACATTTTCCCCTTAAATTTTCCCCTGACTCATGGGTTCAAAGGGGTTTCCCCAATTATTTTACTGATGAAACCAAAGTGAGGGGCTCCCATTACAGGACTTTAAAATTATTTACCCTTCTCTTTTATTTTTCGTGCCAAAGGAATGGCTTAGTTTTCCCGGGGTGTATGAAGTTTTTTTACAAACCTTTTGCTGCGGACCCATTCCCGTATTAAAACATTGCATACTTGTGGGTCTTTACCTGACACAACAAGCACTGTCTTGCTACAGTGGAGTTTGCACTTGACGTGAAGGGCATGTATTGTCTAACAAAAGAAAAATTTAAGGGACCCTGAAATACCTTGGGGAACCTACTTTATCGGCAGGGGTTCTGATTCCGTTTTGTTGTTTTTGACAATTTGTCCCTGTTTCAAAGGTAGGATTAAACCATCTACAGTCCCTTTGCCGTTTAGCTTGAAGTTTCTTACATAATATATTTGATTACGTATAAAGGCCTTTTGCGGTCTAAGGTTACCTCCCTTGGATTCCCCTTTGACTTTCAGTTTCCGGGGAAACCCTCAATTTAAATTTGGGGGTGTTGGTTGAGTAAGATCTTCTAAAGCCCCCAATTTTATAGCTATGGGGAAGTTGTTTTCAAAGGTACTTTAAATACTTGAGAATACACCGCCTCTCTAGAATTTTGGTATTATACTGATAAACTTAAAAAGCCCCATGTTGCTTACATCAACCTGTATTTTCTTGAAAAATAGGGGGTAAAATGGGCCCCCCTTGAACCCATCCGGTACGGATTAGTGGTGATTGGGATTTTTTTGTGAACAAAGGGGATTTACAGTTCAAAGCACCACTTTTAGGAACTTGAGGGGGGTGTTATCAGGGGGCCCGGCTCAGTTGGGTTTTTAACCCCTTTGTTCTTTTTTGAGTTAAGTGTAGAACACTTTTAGTTGACAACTGTTTGGGGGTTACCCCTTTTTTTGGATGTATATTTGAAAATTATCAATCTGTGTTAAAAGGGATTTTATGCAGCGGTAGTTTTTTACTAGTGTTGATGCAAAAGATGTGTAGAAGGTTAAAGCAATTTGCCACCTTTGATGTTTCGTGGGTACCTCGTTATCAAAAGTAGTACTATTTTGACCTACTAAAAGGGTTATGGCTATACCCCAACGTTTTTGTTGTTGCCCGAGCTTTCTGGGGTTTTTAAAGCTTATACTCTTCAATTTTTGAGCAAAGGTGCTTTGCTTTTCTCCTTTTATAAATCCTGTACTTGTTTCCCACCCCTTTTGGAAATTTATTTAGTGCTGCAATATCCGTTGTTTTCTTTAAATCTTTTTACAGCTGGTCTCTGAATTTATATATCTAATATTCAGTAGTCATCCCGGGTTCAGTTTTTCGTTTAAACCCAACCCTTTAAAAATGGTGCAATATTATCAAGGATGGTAGTGAACATTTTTTTGAATTTTTTTCCCCGGCATCTTTAGTCCGTCAAATTTTCTCTGTCCAGTTACAAATTTGTCCTATTTTCAGTGTTTTTTTTCTGGTTTTCAGTTACCTCATTTTTATTTTCCTGTGAGGCCTACCCATCCCTATGATTTTTCCCGGGGCAGTAAAGTGAATGTTACTAAGACCCGTGGGAATGACGCTATGATAATGTTCTCGGGCGGTTACCGGGGTGGCAGTTATGGGGGCTGAGAAATGTGATCCGGGTTGGTGTATTAATTAGTTGGGGAACTATTTAAAACCCGAATTTGCTTATACCCTTTTTCATAGCCCGTTATTTGCTGTGAAAAAAAATATTGAAGTCTCCAGTATAACAGTTTTATGTTTTTTATATTGCACATGGTGTAGAGAACCTGGGGTAAACCCCCCCCCCCCCCAAAAAAAAAAAAAAAAAAAAAAAAAATCGTGACTTATTTTCCCTGGGGGTCCCTGAAAACGGGTGGGGGGGGGGCCGGGATATATATTTTCTCTTTTTTGTTTTCGACATCAAAGTTTAAGAATCATCAGACTGATCTTGCCCCCTGAATCCCTTAACCCTTTAAAACATTGTCATGGGGAGTTCCCCCCTTAAAATGTTCACCCAAAAACCTTGCACTAACAAACTAGGCAGTGTGGGGAAAAAGACACTTATGTACTTCAGGGGATTATTAAAGGAAACGTTTGGCCGTTGTGGGATTTGGGGCGAATAATAAAATAATAATAATAATATTTAAAAATAATAAAAATAATATAATATATTTACTACAAGTAATATACAAGGTATACAGACCATAGCCGACATCAGTGACAGTACTTATAGAAACCACTTGCTATGCGAGATTTCCCGTAAATTAGGTAGTTTTTTCCCCCGATGCGACCACACCATTCCGCTAACACCCAGGTCCCATTTTTTTAAAAATGATGGGTGAATAGAAACCGGGGTTTTTTTGAAACAAAACCAATGTTTTTACCCCGTGGAAACGAAAACCCGACCCTCGCCCTGTAAAGGGGAGCGGCTTTACCCCTAGGCCACTGTGGAAAATGTTTTCTTTAAAAGTCGAACTTACATTAGGGGTTTTTCCCTATCTTGTTGGTATCACCCATTTTTTTAAACTAGGGAAAAATCAAAAAACCGCCCATAAGACAGTATTATCACCTGGCAGAGACAAAGGGAGCATTAGGACGTTGATTCCCGCAAGCAAGTGCAGTGACGACAGACATCACTAAAGTAACACAAGTAATCATTCATCATTACTAATGTGGTCATCGGGATGGGGAAAAAATAAAATTAAGCAAACTGCAGGTATCCTGAAGGAGGGCACACGGGCGGGCCTGTCGTGGACTCCGGCTGCCAAATTTGGCACCAGCCCTCGGGTGCACTCACCTGGGACTTCTTCGTGTATCTAATGAACCATGTCCTTGAGCTCGTGCTCAAGGACAGGTCTCCTTGATGTTGCAGTGTTGCAGCTGTGTATTTTACATACCCCACTGGCGACACATCTCTTCCGGTTACACCAGGTGGGCAGCCCAAGCTGCCCTTAATAATAGTAATATTCCTTATTGCTACAAGTACATGATACAACTTATACAGACCTAGGTGGCATCAGTGACGTACTCTGTAGAAAGCCTTCTTGTTATGCAGAGCATTTCGGGCAAATTAGGTTAATTTTGCCCCAGGATGCGACCCACACCAGTTGACTAACACCCAGGTACCTATTTTACTGCTAGGTGAACAGGCACATGTTTCCACATGGTGCCCCATGTAGGATAATACGATCTTTCTTTCTGCAGTATTACAAAATTACACAATATTGTTAAGCATAAAAGAAAGCCACTAGCATGCATGTATTTTGAGCAGAAAAGTTGAACACATTCAGCTAGCCTGTCCAAGGTTTTACTCAGAAATGGATTTGGCATCTTAACAGTTTGTTCTCAGTGGCTCTAGTTTCAACCCAGACATTCGTATATTTTTGAGCATATAGAGGTACAAAAAAATACAGGTAAGAGCAGCATGCCAAAGCCACTTGTATGCATAGCATTACGGGCTGGCTTAAAATTAACTTAAGATTAGCTAAGCAATGATGTAATCAGTGATAAAACATTATTGTAAACAGATAACAATAAAGCACAAATGAGTATTACAAATGCACATGCTGCACATTCCCCTTTCCAGGGGCAAGTTGGGCATTAATTAAATGTAAAGTGAACATTTAAACATCAGTTTTCTTGGAGTACGTTAATTATTATTATTATTATTATTATTATAATAAAAAAGAAGTGCTAAGCCACAAGCTTGGAGTACGTTAATATGGCATAATATTGTAGCCCTTAAAAAACAACAAAAACAAAAACATTATCCATATTATTGTTATCGTTTCTTTTGTTTTCTTAGAGATAAAGTTTTGACATTCATCCTTGCATTTTATTATCATGACTATTGTTGTGATATGTATGCTGCCATGGATTACACCTGCTGTGTTGTTTCAGCTTACCTTTTATGTCTGTCTGTGCCTGCCTTTATAAATCTCCATTAATAAATGTTTTTGCATTTCTTCTGTTGCAACTTTCAGCTCTTATCTGGTATTAGGGCAGTTTAGTATATTTGTTAATGTACTTCAGTCTTGTTTCAAAGTACACTTCATCTTATGTAATTTGCTATAGGTGCCTATCACAGTTTTCATTCAACAGCTTCTCTCATCTCAGTGTGTGAAGCCAGTCATGTATGCCTAATGAGTTAGCAGTTCCTTTGTGCACACAGTTCACCTGGCTTATTCCACCCTCAGTTTATCCAGCCCACTTTGCTCACCAAATTTTTCTCACCAGATCATGAGTAAAAATGTAGCTTTGTTCCAGTAGACTGTTCAGTATTCCTTCAGTTTCTGTGTGTTTTGCATTCATTAATTGGCCTATACTTGAGTTTTGTTTTATGCACTGTTATCTGTGAATCCACAACTCACGTATAGTACAGTTTTTTTTATTATACCACGATCCATGATCTGGACTCCTGGAAATGTAACTTGCATATGTATTAAATCTCGTGTAAATGTTACATGCATTAGATGAGTCTTATGTACTGTGTAACAAATGACCCAAAATAGTGCAGAGCTCCCCACTCTAGTGATTGCCAGGGGAGTACAGTGCATAGTTTACCTAATCCTCTACTCCTTCCTTGGGTAGCTGTTTCAGTTATTCAACTACTAATGATGAAAGTGTAGTTGATGTACTGTTTCTCATTCTAGGTTGCTACGATGCCAGGATCCGGGTGCTCATAATGCACGTCACTTGCCTTCTGCATGTGAATGTTGACCTACTGGAGATGTATGAAGAGTCAGTGTTGGAGTACCTTACCATGGAGCAGAACCCCATCACTGAGTGAGTCCTCAGCACTCAATTCCAGGGCAGGATGATGGTGAAGAGTGAGAATAAAGGGTGAAAACGAGACTTGAGGAAAGTGATACAAGATGGGCAATTTGCCAGACTGAAAGTTAAACAGGATCATGAGCAACATTGCAATTTCATACATTGGTGGTGCTGAAATATTTCAGTTTTAATATGCTGCACCTGAACCACAGTATTCATTTTAATTTATTTTTCTAGGGAGGAAGAAAAAGAAATGGCCAAGCGTGAGCGCTACAAGAAGATCAAGCGTTACACTGCTATTGGTTTAGCTACCCTGGGTGGTGGTGCTGTTCTGGGTCTCACAGGTGGACTGGCAGCCCCGTTTATTGGTGCTGGTCTTGGAACAATTATTGGGGCAGGTATGATTTTTTTAAATTAATTTAAAGTGAAATAGTGTACAGCCTCTCCTCACATAACGATGGAGTTCTGTTCCTAAGACCATGTCGTTAAACGAATTCATCGCTAAGTGAGGAGCATAATATAATGGTAGTGAGTTTGTGTCAGCCATCTTTGATATTGAATTAATGTCACCTTTGCATCATTTATAACATTTCTGGTATATTTGTAAATGTTTATACAGTAGTGTACTGTATATTGAAATAAGGCGTCAGTAAACGAGTACGTCACTAAGTGAGGAGAGGCTGTAATTATAAATTGTGGTTGAAAGGAGGTCATTCGTATACACAAACTTATTTAGGTTAAATACTTATTATACAGGAAAAGTTGGTAGATGGATCTATAATTTCCTGACAAATAGAACACAGAGAGTAGTAGTCAACAAAGTAAAGTCTGAGGCGGCTACGGTGAAAAGCTGTGTTCCGCAAGGCACAGTACTCGCTCCCATCTTGTTCCTCATCCTCATATCGAACATAGACAGGGATATAAGCCACAGTGCCATGTCTTCCTTTGCAGATGACATCCGAATCTGCATGACAGTGTCCTCCATTGAAGACAATGCACGACTCCAGGCGGACATCAACCAAATCTTTAAATGGGCTGCAGAAAACAATATGAAATTCAACGATGAGAAATTTAAATTACTCTGATATGGTAAACGTGAGGAAATTAAAATTTCATTGGAGTATAAAACAAATTCCAACCACACAATAGAGTGAAAAACTAACATCAAAGACCTGGGAGTGATCATGTCGGAAGATCAGACCTTCAAGGACCATAACATTGTATCAATCGCATCTCCTAGAAAAATGACAGGATGGATAATGAGAACCTTCAAAGCTAGGGATGCCAAGCCCATGATGACACTCTTCAGGTCGCTTGTTCTATCTAGGCTGAAATATTGCTACACACTAGCAGCACCTTTCAAGGCAGGTGAAATTGCTGACCTAGAAAATGTACAGAGAACCTTCACGGCATGCATAACTGAGATAAAACACCTCAATTGCTGGGAACGATTGAAGTTCCTGAACCTGTACTTCCTGGAATGCAGGCAGGAGAGATACATGATTATATACACTTGGAAAATCCTAGAGGAATTAGTACCAAACTTGCACACGAAAATCACTCCCTATGAAAGCAAAAGACTCGGCAGATAATACAACATCCTCCCAGTGAAAAGCAGGGGTGCCACTAGCACGTTAAGAGACAACACAGTAAGTGTCAGGGGCCAAGACTGTTCAACTGTCTACCAGCATACATAAGGGGGATTACCGATATACCCCTGGCTGTCTTCAAGCAGGCACTGGACGGGCACCTAAAGTCGGTACCTGACCAGCCGGGCTGTGGTTCGTATGTTGGATTGCGTGCAGCCAGCAGTAACATCCTGGTTGATCAGGCACTGATCTACCATGAGGCCTGGTCACAGACCGGGCCGTGGGGGCGTTGACCCCCGGAACTCTCTCCAGGTAAACTCGATACATAAAGCTCTCAAACCATACTATGGGCGGGGATTGAACTTGTGGCGAGTGAATCCTATCATTACGATTTCATGAGACATGAAGCTTTTTTCTGGTTAAATATATGTACAAATGGTTTTAAAGACTGCTGTTTGAGGGACTACAATGATTGCATTAACCCTTTCGAGAGGCGCTCTCCTAAACTTGTTCTCAGGGTTGAAAATTTTTCGGAAAAAAAAAAAATAATTTTTTTCTTATAAAATGATAAGAGAATCTTTTCCCAATCATAATGACACCAAAAATATAAAATTTGATGGAAAGCTTAAGAAATTATGCTCTCGTGAAGTTTGCGGTCTCGACGATGTTTATGCAGCGGCGATTTCACCCAGTTTGGGCCCTATTTTCAGCCAATTCCAGTGTACTAGTCGACAAAATTCATAACTATTTTGCTAGAACTCCATTTTTTCTATTGAGCGAGTACAAGAAACCACCCAATTACCAATTTCAACTCCAGTAAAGTGGTCAGAAATTGGCAATTTTGCCAATTTCACACAAATTTCAAAAGATGCCATTTTCCAAATAGGGTTCAGAATAAACAAAACAGACATTCCTGGCACTAAAATAACATTTTCTCTGTTCATTAGTCATGTTCCCAGGCCCCTCTTACATTTATTTTGCTTTCTGCTTTGAATTTTTATTCTCGCAAAAAATAGAAGATTTACTGTTATGCAGACTACTGCATTAGTGTAGAAATGGTATAAATAATACCAGCGCACTTGTGAAAGAATATTAGACTCACCAGTTGATGTGTATTGGATGTGTGGCATGATTTGTTTACTTTTGAACTTTGGCAAAAATCGAACATTTCTGCTACTTTGTGCTCAATTTCAAGGTACTTTTCATTATAGGTAGTAGGTTGGTAGACAGCAACCACCCAGGGAAGTACTACCGCCCTGCCAGATGACTGTGAAACAGAAACCTGTAACTGTTTTGCATGATGGTAGGATTGCTGGTTTCTTTTTCTGTCTCATAAATACACTAGATAACAGGGATATCTTGCTACTCCTACTTACACTTTGGTCACACTTCACAGACATGCACATGCATATATATATACATACATCTAGGTTTTTCTCCTTTTTCTAAATAGCTCTTGTTCTTCTTTATTTCTTCTATTGTCCATGGGGAAGTGGAAAAGAATCTTTCCTCCGTAAGCCATGCGTGTCGTATGAGGCGACTAAAATGCCGGGAGCAATGGGCTGGTAACCCCTTCTCCTGTAGACATTTACTAAAAAAAGAGAAGAAAAACTTTATAAACTGGGATGCTTGAATGTGCGTGGATGTAGTGCGGATGACAAGAAACAGACGAATTTCTGATGTTATGAATGAAAAGAAGTTGGGATGTCCTGGCCCTAAGTGAAACAAAGCTGAAGGGGTTTGGGAGTTTCGGTGGGGGAAATAAATGGGATTAAATCTGGAGTATCTGAGAGAGTTAGAGCAAAGGAAGGGGTAGCAGTTAAAGTTGAAGGATCAGTTATGGAAGGAGAAAAGATAATATGAATGTGTAAATTCAAAATTAGTGGATTAAAGTAAAGGTTGGCTGCGAAAAAATGGGGCATAAATAAGCGTGTATGCACCTGGAAAAGAGAGGAATGCAGAGGGGGAGAGATTTTGGGAGAGTTAAGTGAAGTATAGGGGGCCTTTGAAACCCAAGTGGGAGTAATTGTGGTAGGGGACCCGAATGCTAAAGTAGGGAAACTTTTAGAGAGGGTGTGGTAGGTAAGTTTGGGGTGCCAGGTGTAAATGATAATGGGAGCCCTTTGATTGAACTTTGTATAGAAAGGGGTTTAGTTATAGGTAATACATATTTTAAGAAAGAGGATAAATAAGTATACAAGATATGATGTAGGGCGAAATGACAGTAGCTTGTTGGATTATGTATTGGTAGATAAAAGACTGTTGAGTAGACTTCAGGATGTACATGTTTATAGAGGGCCACAGATATATCAGATCACTTTCTAGTTGTAGCTACACTGAGAGTAAAAGGTAGATGGGATACAAGGAGAATAGAAGCATCAGGGAAGAGAGAGGTGAAGGTTTATAAACTAAAAGAGGAGGCAGTTAGGGTAAGATATAAACAGCTATTGGAGGATAGATGGGCTAATGAGAGCATAGGCAATGGGGTCGAGGAGGTATGGGGTAGGTTTAAAAATGTAGTGTTAGAGTGTTCAGCAGAAGTTTGTGGTTACAGGAAAGTGGGTGCGGGAGGGAAGAGGAGCGATTGGTGGAATGATGATGTAAAGAGAGTAGTAAGGGAGAAAAAGTTAGCATATGAGAAGTTTTTACAAAGTAGAAGTGATGCAAGGAGGGAAGAGTATATGGAGAAAAAGAGAGAGGTTAAGAGAGTGGTGAAACAATGTAAAAGAGAGCAAATGAGAGAGTGGGTGAGATGTTATCAACAAATTTTGTTGAAAATATGAAAAAGTTTTGGAGTGAGATTAACAAGTTAAGGAAGCCTAGAGAACAAATGGATTTGTCAGTTAAAAATAGGAGAGGAGAGTTATTAAATGGAGAGTTAGAGGTATTGGGAAGATGGAGGGAATATTTTGAGGAATTGTTAAATGTTGATGAAGATAGGGAAGCTGTGATTTCGTGTATAGGGCAAGGAGGAATAACATCTTGTAGGAGTGAGGAAGAGCCAGTTGTGAGTGTGGGGGAAGTTCGTGAGGCAGTAGGTAAAATGAAAGGAGGTAAGGCAGCCGGGATTGATGGGATAAAAATAGAAATGTTAAAAGCAGGTGGGGATATAGTTTTGGAGTGGTTGGTGCAATTATTTAATAAATGCATGGAAGAGGGTAAGGTACCTAGGGATTGGCAGAGAGCATGCATAGTTCCTTTGTATAAAGGCAAAGGGGACAAAAGAGAGTGCAAAAATTATAGGGGGATAAGTCTGTTGAGTATACCTGGTAAAGTGTATGGTAGAGTTATTATTGAAAGAATTAAGAGTAAGACGGAGAATAGGATAGCAGATGAACAAGGAGGCTTTAGGAAAGGTAGGGGGTGTGTGGACCAGGTGTTTACAGTGAAACATATAAGTGAACAGTATTTAGATAAGGCTAAAGAGGTCTTTGTGGTATTTATGGATTTGGAAAAGGTGTATGACAGGGTGGATAGGGGGGCAATGTGGCAGATGTTGCAGGTGTATGGTGTAGGAGGTAGGTTACTGAAAGCAGTGAAGAGTTTTTATGAGGATAATGAGTCTCAAGTTAGAGTATGTAGGAAAGAGGGAAATTATTTCCCAGTAAAAGTAAGCCTTAGACAAGGATGTGTGATGTCACCGTGGTTGTTTAATATATTTATAGATGGGGTTGTAAGAGAAGTAAATGCAAGGGTCTTGGCAAGAGGCATGGAGTTAAAGGATAAAGAATCACACACAAAGTGGGAGTTGTCACAGTTGCTCTTTGCTGATGACACTGTGCTCTTGGGAGATTCTGAAGAGAAGTTGCAGAGATTGGTGGATGAATTTGGTAGGGTGTGCAAAAGAAGAAAATTAAAAGTGAATATAGGAAAGAGTAAGGTTATGAGAATAACAAAAAGATTAGGTGATGAAAGATTGGATATCAGATTGGAGGGGGAGAGTATGGAGGAGATGAATGTATTCAGATATTTGGGAGTGGACGTGTCAGCAGATGGGTCTATGAAAGATGAGGTGAATCTTAGAATTGATGAGGGGAAAAGAGTGAGCGGTGCACTTAGGAGTCTGTGGAGACAAAGAACTTTGTCCTTGGAGGCAAAGAGGGGAATGTATGAGAGTATAGTTTTACCAACGCTCTTATATGGGTGTGAAGCATGGGTGATGAATGTTGCAGCGAGGAGAAGGCTGGAGGCAGTGGAGATGTCATGTCTGAGGGCAATGTGTGGTGTGAATATAATGCAGAGAATTCGTAGTTTGTTAGTTAGGAGGAGATGCGGGATTACCAAAACTGTTGTCCAGAGGGCTGAGGAAGGGTTGTTGAGGTGGTTTGGACATGGACATGTAGAGAGAATGGAGCGAAACAGAGTGACTTCAAGAGTGTATCAATCTGTAGTGGAAGGAAGGCGGAGTAGGGGTCGGCCTAGGAAAGGTTGGAGGGAGGGGGTAAAGGAGGTTTTGTGTGCGAGGGGCTTGGACTTCCAGCAGGCATGCGTGAGCGTGTTTGATAGAAGTGAATGGAGACAAATGGTTTTTAATACTTGACGTGCTGTTGGAGTGTGAGCAAAGTAACATTTATGAAGGGGTTCAGGGAAACCGGCAGGCCGGACTTGAGTCCTGGAGATGGGAAGTACAGTGCCTGCACTCTGAAGGAGGGATGTTAATGTTGCAGTTTAAAAACTGTAGTGTAAAGCACCCTTCTGGCAAGACAGTGATGGAGTGAATGATGGTGAAAGTTTTTCTTTTTCGGGCCACCCTGCCTTGGTGGGAATCGGCCAGTGTGATAATAAAAAAAAAAAAATTTCATTGTGAAACCAATCAAAATCATGTCAATTTCTGTAACAAGTCTTCCATTCTATAAAATGAGACCAGGAAAACTTGAATACAACCATAAATACCATACAGTGCAAAGTTGCTGTTTTAAACCAAAACCACGGTCAAAGTTTTTTTTTTTCTCATCACGCACTGTGTGCTACAAGATTTTGTTAGAATAACAAAAAAGTCACAATACTGTGACTGGAATGATACACAAATAACCCGCACATAAAAGAGAAGCCTACGACGACGTTTCGGTCCGACTTGGACCATTGACAAAGTCACACTGTGTGACTTTGTCAATGGTCCAAGTCAGACCGAAACGTCGTCGTAAGCTTCTCTCTTTTATGTGCGGGTTATTTGTGTAAGATTTTGTTAGTACTGTGCACACTGACCACATAGACCCATTCTTTCATAGGTAGGTCTACCAGCTTTCTCTCGCTAGATTTGAAGGCGCTAGAATTTACGCATACTAGTACATCAATAACCCTGGTGTGTAAGACGTACTAGTATGTCAGAAACCCTGAAAGCGTTTAACATGTGATTACCACAGGCATGCAGTTGTAATAAATTAAGATTCGAACTATAATAACTCAGTGAAGAAAAGTACTATATTTTAATTTACAGTGGTACCCCGAGTTTCGTACAGCTCCCAACTTGAACAATTATGTAAGTGTATTATTGTAAATGTATTGTTGGGGGTCTGAAACGGACTAATCTAATTTACATTATTCCTTATGGGAACAAATTCATTCGGTAACAGCACTATCAGCCTTCTGGAACGAATTATGACCGAAACCTGGGGTACCACTGTATTTCCATATTGTGACCCCTTATATCCATTGGGTGCCCACAATGGTGAGCCAGTGTGGGCACCCAGTGGAAATGTCTATTATGTCTTTTATGATACAACAGCTTGCTTTCTCTTACTGTGCAGAAGATTATTGGAAATAATGACTGATCTGTACTTACTAATAGCATTATTTTGTTACTCCATATATTACACCTTCACCTTTCCACCCAGTATTGCATAACTTTTGCTCTAATTGAAAGTCTCATTTGCTTACCAGGCTTTCTCATCTTGTTTATTTATTTTCAGTTTTTTAATTATTTATGATCTGCATAATGTTAAAATAAATTTATCATTTGTACACATCTGCATCTCAGGTGGTGCTGCAGCCCTATCATCAACTGCAGGAGTGGCAGTGGTAGGATCAATGTTTGGAGCAGCAGGTGCTGGCCTTACAGGTTAGTTGTGAAGCTAACCTTGCTCATTAAATCTTCAAACTATAGATGAGGGGCTCTGCTTATATAGCAGGTTAGGTTCTGGACTACTGCTGTAAAGTGAAAACCACTGTAAATTGAATCATAGCCTTTTTTATTTTTACTCTCGGATGCATATAAAAGCCTGATAACATGTTCACACTCTCATATATGTATTAAGTGAACAATAGAGCTAGACTTAAAAATGCATGTACATTACACACATTACTTACCTTAATATAAATATATTCTCTCACTATAAGTGAGACATGAATATATTTATTGTAGGAAGTTTGAATAAATGAAGAATGGGTATAATTGAAAACTGCTGTAAAGTGGGGCCTGCCTGTTTACTATATTCTTAAATAAAAGTATTGGCGACATATCTGGTGACCTCAGATGACAACTGTACAAACTTGGCCATCAAGCATATAACATTTTCTGATAATTCAATGCAATTTTATTCTTTTATATGGTACAAGTGTAGTTTACATGTAATAATACATTGGTGGGCACAAAAAAACACTAATATGCAATGCATTTCAGGCAAACTAATAGATTCACTTACATAATAGCATTAAAACCATTTAGAAGGTACAGTAAATCCTCTTGCAACACAGCTTCACATAGTTATATTTTACATAATGCACCAATTTTTACGAATGTAACTTATGTATTATGAGAGTGTTTACTGTATTCACGTAATTTGAATGATGTATGATTGGCTATAAATTATGCATTAAACTACATATATTGGCTATCCACCTAACTATAGAACCTAATGAACTCAAATTAAGCTATAATGAACAACTGTTGATGAATAAAGAGAAGGGTGGATGAGAGACTTGAACTGTAGTCCATAAATTGACAGTCCGATGCTCTGTCAGTAAAGCATCGGACTGTCATTTAACGAGCCATGGTTCTAGCCCCTTGTCCATCTTTCTATTTATTCATAGGATCTAATATAAAGTTTCTCCTGCAGATTACCATCTCATTTCTGCAATTACTGCTAATATTACTACTGTGTATGTAGTGTATGTATATGTGGGGTATGAACAGGGTAATATTTAGTGAAGGGATTTAGAGAAACTGGTTAGCCGGACTTGAGTCCTGGAAATGGGAAGGACAATGCCTGCACTGTAAAGGAGGGGTTTCGGATATTGACAGTTTGGAGGGACTTCTAAACTGTCGTGTCTGAGTGCCTCTGCAAAGACAGTGATTATGTATGAGTGAGGTGAAAGTGTTAAATGATGAAAGTATTTTCTTTTTGGGGATTTTCTTTCTTTTTTGGTCACCCTGCCTCAATAGGAGATGGCCAACTTGTTTAAAAAAAAAATGTATTGAATTACTTTCTGTATATATACATCAATGCACTTTTATTTAAACCTAACTAATATTTGGTGTTATAGCAATAAAATTTATTTTTTAATACAGGATTTAAGATGAAGAAGCGTGTTGGAGACATAGAAGAGTTTGCTTTCGACTATCTTACTTACGGAAATCACTTACACATTACTATTGCTATATCTGGATGGCTAACAAAGGAAGGTATTCAAGAGTTTAATCAACCATGGAAAATTTTGTTTCATTCCAGAGAGCAGGTGAGGACATGAACCATGAAAAATGTGCTTAGTTTCTTTAATGATTAGCCTTTGCATTAATATTTGAGATGTCAATTTCTTTGTTTTATTTGACTGTGCAGTAATGAAATGTATCAAAGTACCATGTACTTTGTAAGAATAAAAGTCAAATGTCAAGAAAACTTTTTTTTTTTAACATGCTGGCTGTCTCCCACCAAGGCAGGATGACCCAAGAAAGAGAAACACTTTCACCCTCATTCTCACTATCACCGTCTTTGCAGAGGTGCACAGATACGACAACTTATGATTGACATCACTCTTATTGCTAAACATAGTGAGGGCAAATTCCTGGGCCTGCACCTTGACAGCAACCTGAAATTCAGCACCCATATGCAACACACAACAAAAAAAAAAGCATCCAAAACAGTTGGGATCCTCTCTAAGATATGTTACTACGTACCACAATCAGCCTTTCTCACACTATACTATTCACTCATCTATCCCTACCTCACCTATGCTATTTGTGCCTGGGGATCCACAGCAGCAACCCACCTAAAGCCAGTAATCACCCAACAAATAGCTGCAGTAAGAATTCACACAGTTCAATGCTAGGCAACATACCTCCTCACTCTTCAAAGACCTAAACTTACTCACCATACAGAACATTCACACCTACTACTGTGCAGCCTACATTTACAGAACCATAAATTCCAATATTAACCCAGAACTAAAACACAGGACCCATAGACACAGTACCAGACACAAAGATCTCTATGACATTCCCCATGTCTGACTAAATCTATAAAATAAATTAAATGTATATAAAAGGGCCTAAAATCAGGAATTTCTTGCCTGAAAACTAGAACTGCAGACTCATCCACCATTTTCAAAACTACCATAAAAAAAATCTTATCTCCCTAACCTACCCCACCATCAGCTAACTACATATATCAAAACCACCTATTCTCTTATTCCTATCATGCATCCCAAAACAAAAAAATTTTCCTCAAGATCGGTTTCCCCCCTAATTTGCATTTAAAACCACTCAAATGACTGTAAAAAAATAAAATTCCTAAAATAGCCCCAAACCCCCTAGTAAATCTTAAGTTTAGGCCCTAAAGTTGCCCTAAGGGAACCTTGATAAGCTTTATTTTAAATGGCAGAGGGTTTGGATATTACCCGAAAATTATACAGTGGACCCCCGCATAGCGAATCCTAAAGGGCCTTTGTTATGGAAAAGGGGTTGGAAGAATTTTAAAAAAAAAAAAGGAAAAAAATTTGTGGGGGCCCAAAAGATGAAAAAAAAATTTTTAAAACTGAAATGAATTTTAAAACCCAAATGGGCTGAAATTCATGAATCTTTTTTGGATTGGTGATGATTGTTTGGGTGGGGAGGGGAGGGGTGTTGTTTTTAAAAGGGGGAATCCCCTTTTTTAACTTGGGGGTGTTGAGTCCTTTCGGGGGGTTTTTTCCCCTTTTTTTTTAATACTAGGCCAAAAGTTCCGGTCCTGGCCTTTTTTTCCCCTTTTTTTTTGGTTCTTTTCCTTTATGCTTCCCTAAATGTTTCAAAAACATTGTCAGTGTACAGGTTCCCAAACCGGCTTGCAATACTTTTTGGGGGGTGATTTTCACCTGAAGGTTTTGCACTTCAAGCCACTTTGCACAGTTTTCCTTAATTTTTGTAGTAGGCAACTTCTTCAATTTCTCTCTCTCCTCCTCTGAAAATTTCCTCAGGTCTGGCCTCTTCTGTTGAATTGATCTATAGCTCATCAGGGTTTGTTCTTTATTGTCCTCCTCCCCCAACTCTTTCCCCATCCTCCCACTAACCCCAACCCCAAAGGGCTTTCCCAATGCCCCAAAGGATTCCTCAAAATGGCAAATCCCCTCGGGGACCTAAACCCTTCAAAAACCCTTTTTTCCCCACACATTCGGCCAAGTTTCTTCCAACAGAGTTCAAGGTCTTCTTAGTCACCCCCCCAAGCCTTTCCTAAAGATTTAAACAATTGGATATTAAAATGCTCTCTCCAAAAAATTCTTTTGATCGTTGAGTTTCCCGGGTCCACAAAGCACCTTTCAAACAGAGTTTTGTGTACAGTTTTTGAAGTTTGCAAAACCTGCTGGTCCATGGCTGCAGGGGAGGATGGTATTAGGAGGCAAAAATTTCCCCCTTAATGAATTTCATGTCCCATAAGTCGCTCTGCCACGTCTGTAGGATGACCCGGGGCTTGCAAACCAGGAGGCACTTAAATTTTAATTTTTTTTCAGTTAGGTAATCTTTCACATTGGGGGGAATGCATGGTGTAACCATCATAAAAAAGCCCTAGTGACCCTGCCTTTTTTGTTTGCCCTGGGCTTTAGCAATAATGTTGAAGGATAAGCTATGCAGGAAAAGAGGGACTATAAATGTATTAATTCAAGGATTTTGTGGAGTAAAATAAAGATTGGATGTGAAAAGTGGGTTATAATAAGCGTGTATGCACCTGGAGAAGAGAGAAGTGTAGAGGAGAGAGATTTTGGGAAATGTTGAGTGAATGCGTGGGGAGTTTGAATCAAGTGTGAGAGTAATGGTGGTTGGGGATTTCAATGCTAAAGTGGGTAAAAATGTTATGGAGGGAGTAGTAGGTAAATTTGGGTGCCAGGGGTAAATGTAAAATGGGGAGCCTTTAATTGAGCTATGTGTAGAAAGAAATTTGGTAATAAGTAATACATATTTTATGAAAAAGAGGATAAATAATATACAAGGTATGATGTAGCACGTAATGAAAGTAGTTTATTAGATTATGTATTGGTGGATAAAAGGTTGATGGGTAGGCTCCAGGATGTACATGTTTATAGAGGGGCAACTGATATATCGGATCATTATTTAGTTGTAGCTACAGTTAGAGTAAGAGGTAGATGGAAAAGAGGAAGGTGGCAACAACAAGTAAGAGGGAGGTGAAAGTGTATAAACTGAGGGAGGAGGAGTTTCGGGTGAGATATAAGCGAATATTGGCAGAAAGGTGGGCTAGTGCAAAGATGAGTAGTGGGGGGTTGAAGAGGGTTGGAATAGTTTTAAAAAATGCAGTATTAGAATGTGGGGCAGAAGTTTGTGGTTATAGGAGGGTGGGAGCAGGAGGAAAGAGGAGTGATTGGTGGAATGATGAAGTAAAGGGTGTGATAAAAGAGAAAAAGGTAGCTTATGAGAGGTTTTTACAAAGCAGAAGTGTTATAAGAAGAGCAGAGTATATGGAGAGTAAAAGAAAGGTAAAGAGAGTGGTGAGAGAGTGCAAAGGAGAGCAGATGATAGAGTGGGAGAGGCACTGTCAAGAAATTTTAATGAAAATAAGAAAAAATTTTGGAGTGAGTTAAACAAGTTAACCCTTTGACTGTTTCAGGCCCCTCTCTGAAACTGTCATTCTATGTCGCTCAATTTTTGAAAAAAAAAAAAATTATTTTTTCTTATGAAATGATAGAGAATCTTTTCCCGATGGTAATGACACCAAAAGTTCGAAATTTGGTCGAAAACTCGTGGAATTATGCTCCCGCGAAGTTAGCGGTCTCGGCGACATATGCGTATCGGCGATTTCGCCGACTTTGAGCCCAATTTTCAGCCAATTCCATTGTTCCAGTTGACCAAACTCATAGCTATTTCTTTAGAACTCCATTTTATCTATCAGCTGAGTACAAGAAACCTCCCATTTACTAATTTGGAGTACCCAGTATGGTGGTCAGAAATTGGCAATTTGGCCAATTTCACGCAAAATGAAAAAGATGCCAATTTCAAAATAGGGTCCAGAATAAACAAGGTAGACATTCGTGGCACTAAAATAACATATGTTCTGTTCATTAGTCACATCTCTAGGCCCCTCTTATATTATTATTGCTTTCTATTTTGATTTTTTATTCATACAAAAAAATACAAAATTTACTGTTATGCAGACTACTGCATTATTGTAAAAATGGTATAAATAATATCAGTGCACTAGTGAAAGAATATTAGACTCCCCAGTTGACGTGTATTGGAAGTGTGGTGTGATTTATTTACTCCTGAACATTGGTAAAAATCGAACATTTCCGCTACTTTGAGCTCAGTTTCAAGGTTGTTTTCATCGTCAAAGTAATGAAAATCATCTCTATTTCTGTAATATGTTTTCCATTTTATCACCTAAGACCATGAAACGCGAATACAACGATAAATACTAACGAAAATACACCTCAAAGTCGGCGTTTATTCCAAAAAAACGATCAGAGTTTTTTTTTTTCTCATACGCAATGTGTGCTGCAGGATTTTTTTTATGTGGTGCACACTGACCACACAGACCCATTCCTCACATGTGGGCCACCAGCTTTCCCCCACTTGATTTAAGCCGCCAGAAAATTTTGAGTATTAAACGTCAGAAACATTGGGGGCTAAGAAAGTAATTATACTCGAAAAAAAATCAAAGGGGTTTAAAAAGCCTAGGGAAAATTGGGTTTTTCAGTTAAAAACAGAGTCCCAAACCCAGGGAAAAAAAAAATGGCTTTTGGGTTTTTTGGGGAGGGGTTTTTCCCAAATTGTTCCTGCGGATTTTTTTAAAGGGTTTCAAAAAAAAAAATTGTCAGGTTTGTCCTTCACGTCTATGTACTTGTTGAATTCCGCACAATTTTCAGGCTTTGTGGTCCGAACTGGCACCTCACCATGCCTTATCACACTATGTATGCCACTGCGCTTCTTAACTTCAAACCAACTTGCTGCCTTAAATTCGCTCACATCAGCTAATATTTGCAGAAATTTTTAATTAATCTCATGCAACTTCCTAACCTTTCGCTTATGCTTGAGAGAGCTATCTCCTGCTAGCCGTTTTTTATCCAACCAAAAAGGGTATTTAACATCTTCCATCACTGCGATCTTTTTTGAAAAGGTTAAACCTTTGGCAAGATCGCTTCCTAGTTGCGGTGCCCACAATAGTTAGGGGAATGGGGTTTCTGACAACCTGGCCAGTTGGCGATAAGCACTCACTTTCATATTATCAAGATCGTTCTTCATCCTATTGGAATTCACTTTTGTTGAGGTGGCACTAAAAGGGCTTTCTGGGGCCCAGTATTCTTATTTCCAGATAAAGACCGAAAAAGTAAATACGAATTTTCTTGGGTTTACGCGGAGTTGGCGTTAAAAATGGACGGCTAATGGGTGTTTGAGGGCGCAATTGGACGCTCTCGGACGAACAGCGGTGAGCGGTTTGAGCGGTATGCGAGCAAAATTTTTGCGATTAAAGTGAGGTTGCGGAATAACCGGTTTGGGCCGTAGCGGGGCCACTGTATCCTTTGTACAACCATGTTCACGTCAAAATAAAAATTATTATTATTATTAATATTATACTCTAAACAGCAAATATCCCAACCCCCTCCTTTAAAGCGCATCATTGTACTTTCCACCTCCAGGACTCAAGTCTGACTAACCAGTTTCCCTGGATCCCTTCACAAAATATTACCCATATTTACTATTAGTAAATATGGACTAATATCAGTAATTATTTTTGAATTGGTTGCTTGTTTTTCTGCCTCTCTCACTTCATTTTTTGTTTTTTTTTGGTCTGTCAGTTTATCATGGAAATTAGGTACCAGAAAATCAAGCTATGCTTTCTATTCATAAATATCATTTGAGTGAACAGTTAATATGGAGTGAAGTAGGTACAGGTCAGCCATCACTGATCTGACAATCACTAATCTGGTTCCATCACTAATCAGGCACTAATTTCGGCTAGTGTAAGTATTGTACCCATTGAATGAGGCACCTACTGAGTGCACTTATCTCTGGCAGACCAGTACGTGAGTTTCTTAAGGAATTTAATGATGCCGGATTAGTAACAGTTGACCTGTACCAAGGTTCATCCAATCCCATACAAAGTTTCTCATGCTTTAAAATGTAGTTGTCTGTGACCAGGGTTCAGCGAATTAAATAGGAATTGTATAGCACATGCATGTATATGCTTCCTTGTAACAGGTCTTGCATCCCAGAGAAAAACTAGTAAGTGAGCAGAAAACACAGCTTAACAGAAAAGTGTTGAATATGGCAAGTATCACAAAACATGCCTCTGATAAAGACACAGTACACATCCATTTGTAAACATAAATGTACTCAGGAAAAACAAACTTATGTGGAATATCCACTAATGTTGGGATTAGATATCAATCTGTTTAAGCTTTAGGCTGCCTCAGATAGCTTTATAAGCAATACTATTCTTGTGGATGCTATCTTTTATTTTAGAGATGAAGTATAATAAGCAACAAAAAGTATGAAAGTAAAAACAAAAAACAAAGTTCACTTAGAAATTTATTACTTAAATAAATGTACAAGTTCAACAGTGTGGTTTCAAATTCAAAAGCTCTTGTACAAATAATTAATGATATGTAAAATGTATTCCTAATTAGACAGCTAACTTGAACTTTAAACCTTATCTTTAACTTGCAGAAAGACAGGATAAATCCATAAGTATGCATGTTTGTAAACTTTGGGCATTAGTCAGTTGAATACCGTCTCTATTTTGGGTTCAGTTGCACAGTGGAATTAATCGGTGTACAAAAGAACAGCATTTTGCTCATGTTATGAGGGAAAATTTCTCCAATATTGAATCACTTTACTAAGTGTCTTTGTACTACACAGTTTGTTGGCATTTGAAAGAAATTTCCCAAATTATTAGACTCTTATTTTCAGTATTGTTTGCGCTACGAGTCCCAGTACCTACGAGAACTTGGGCAAGCTATGGACTACCTCCTTCAATTTGCACTCTCCATGGCTGTCCAGGAGACACTAAAATATACCATTTTAGCAGGTATGTATTATACTGAATATAGTGTTAGAAATTGCAATGAACTAAACCACTTTGGGTCATTCATTTCAGATTCAGATTATTTCAGTATGATACAAAATTTGTATGAGATGGGTGACATTTAGGTGCGTATGCTGAAATCCCCTTTGTATGCAGAGCATTTTGGACAAACTTAAGACTATCTTAAGACTAATAAGGCAATAATTGATTGCTTATATATACCATTTCTAAGTGGTTACAAACAATAAGTTTAGGAATTACAAGGAACACAAGAGAACTGATCAGCATATTAATACATTCTGTATAACATTTATCAAGCTTAATTGTTGTAAAGATTACAGGTTAGTGGTGTAGGCTCTCAAATGTCCATTCACTGATTAGTGTTCAGTCTCTTGGCAGGCAAGCTGTTACTGATCGTCATAGGAATAAATGTTGTGCCAAGGAGGAGGTTGAAGACAGTGATATTGTCTTGCACAAGATTACTGTTACATGTAAGGTTCATGAATGAAGTACAGTAGAACACCCGTATCCACTGATTCCGTATCCACAGTTTCAGTAATGCATGGTTTACTGTGGCCCAAAAATATTTTTTAATTTTGCATAATATTGGCCCCATAGTGCAAAAGTAGAGAAGCTGTCAGTCCTTCAAAGCCTAAGAGAAGCCATGAAGTGCTTCACATCAATGAAAAAATGATAATTCTCCACATATTGTGCATAATTTTTCAATTTAACTTTATAATAGGCATGTAGAGGACTAATATATAGGATTTCCTTGTTCTCTCTAGGCTGGAATATTGCTGTACACTAACTGCCCCCTTCAAAGCAGGCAAAATTGCTGACCTGGAGAATGTACAAAGAACTTTCATGGCACACACGAGTATGATAAGGCACCTAAATTACTGGGAATGGTTGAAGTCCCTTGATTTGTATTCCCTGGCACACAGGCAAGAGAGATACGCAGTAATCCTAGAGGGATTAGTACCAAACTTGCACATGAAAATCACTCCCTATGAAAGCAAAAGACTCAGGAGATGCAACATTCCCCCAGTGAAAAGCAGGCGTGCCACGAGTACACTGAGAAACAACACAATAAGTTTAAATGGCCCAAGACTGTTCAACTGCTTCCCAGCATACATGAGGGGGATTTACCAATAGACCCCTGGCGGTCTTCAAGAAGGCACTGGACAGGCACCTAAAGTCAGTACCTGACCAGCCGAGTTGTGGTGTGTACGTCAGTTTGCATGTGGCCAGCAGTAACAGCCTGGTTGATCAGACCTTGATCCACTATGAGGCCTGATCTCAGACCAAGCCACAGGGGCATTAACCCCTGAAACCCTCTCCAGGTATACTCCAGGTATCTGTATTTTCGGTATCAACTGCAGGTCTTTGGAACTTAGCCCCCCTGGATACGGGGGTCCTACTCTATATAAAACATGGTGCAGTAGTATAAAAAACTTAATTTGAAGAGAAGGGTTATTGTGTATAAGAATAGACAAAAATAAAATATAATGGGTACATAAATCTGAAGCAGATTTAAGAACAAGATATTTTTTGTAAACAAAACATGTATATGTATAGGTAAAATGCTTGAAATACAAAAAAGATTTTATAAAGCTATATAGCAAAATTTTGTCAATAGATTATCAGCTAACATGCTCTTTTACTTCTAATATAAAAAAAATTATAAAGAAAACTTTTCATGTAATTATTCAATTATATTTTTATGTACTAATAGCATAGGGCTGCATTTTTAATGTCTAAATTTATCTGTAAATTATTGTGACTTCATTGATCTTGTTTGACACTCAGTATTGCAGTGTTATTAAATTTAGTGTTTATTAATAATAGCAATGTATGACCCTTGTGGGTTTGGCACTTATTTATGATAATAATAGAACTACAGCACTCCAGGAGGAACCATTTGCAATCATTGTAATTATTGGCTGTTATTTTGCAGGTATTATCTCTGCAATCACTTGGCCATCATCTCTTTTGACCCTGGCATCTGTGATTGACAATCCTTGGGGTGTGTGTTGTCGGAGGTCAGCTGAGGTTGGCAAACAACTGGCCGAGGTGCTGTCGCAGAGGCAGCATGGCAAGCGACCAGTCACACTCATTGGATTTTCATTAGGAGCACGAGTTATTTATTATTGTCTCCAGGTAATTTATTTTTATGAATGAGAAGCACTAAGCCACAAGGGCTATACAGCACTGCAGGGTAGGGAAGGAAGCGAGGGTATTGGGCCGTAGAAAGGGGGAGGGATGATCAGTAGGTTACAGAAAACAGCGGGGCAGGGGTAGAGGGTAGAAAGGGCTGAAGGTATCAGAGTTTGTGAAGTAAGTCAGTTGTTGTCAAAAAGTCAATGAGAGTGTCCGGATGAAAGGTGTGTCCATCAGCGAGAAGGGAAGGTAAAGAGAGAGCAGCGGAGCGAAGATGACGTTGGAGGTATATTCTGCGTGCTTGTTGATAAGGTGGGCAGTCTAATAGAATGTGGCTAACTGATAATGGAACCTGACAGTTCTCACAGAGGAGCAGGGCGCCTCTCCATGAGATAATCATGAGTAAGATGAGTATGGCCAATGCGCAGACAGGAGAGAGTAATCTCCCAACCTCGACACTGGTGACAAGAAGACGGCCAGTAACCTATACTCGGTTTAATAGATTGAAGTTTGTTATCAAGCAGAGTAGACCAACGTTGTTGCCAATGGGTGTGAAGGTGGGTAGCTATTGCAGCAAAAGAGTCCGTAAATGGAACACCTCTATATGAAACTGGTAGGTCATGTACTGCTGACCGCGCAGCAGTGATACCGCCTGCTGTGACAAGAAGGCAACTTGTCACAGCCGGCTGTGGTAAGTTGCTTTCAGAGAGGTAATGTGAGGTTTCCAGGATAACCCACGGTCAAAGAGGAGGCCTAGAAACCTGACTATCACATTCAGGGATACGGGAGCCATAGAGGTACAAAGGATGATCGAAGATGACAGAGCGTCTAGTGAAAGTAATTTGGCGAGTTTTGGTACTGGAAAATTTAAACCCATGCGTGGTGGCCCAATTGGAAACACGGTTGACCGCATGCTGGAGAGAAACTGTAATGAGGTGACAGTCAGCGCCTGCACAAGCAAAAGCGAAGTCATCAACATAGAGTGATGACCAAATATTGGATGGAAGAACAGAGGCCAAATCATTTATAGCAAGGAGAAAAAGTGTTGTGCTCAGAACACACCCCTGAGGGACACCTTCAGCTTGGACAAAGTCTGGGGAGAGCACATTATTGACTCGAACACGGAAATGTCTGTCAGTTAAAAAGTTCTTAGGGAAGGATGGTAGATTGCCCGGAGGCCTAAGGAGTGGGCTTGGGCCAAAATATTATACCTCCAAGTTGTGTCATATGTCTTCTCTAGGTCAAAAAATATGGCAATAACCGAGTGGTTATTCGCAAAGGCATTACGAACATACGTATCCAAGCATAGTAAGAGGTCTATGGTAGATCGGCCCTTACGAAAGCCATATTGACTAGTGGAGAGACTTGTGTGTGTCTCTAAATATCATATTAAATGTCGATTTACCAGACGTTCCATCACCTTGCAAACTGCACTAGTAAGAGCAATGGGAACAATAGTGGGAGGCATCATGTCCCGTATTACCCGGCTTGCAGAAAGGGAGAACAATGGCGAATTCCACAGCTGGGGGAGAACTCCTTGTGACCAAAGAAGATTGAAGAGGTGTAAGAGGACTACAAGGACTGACTGATGTAAATGTTGTAACATCCGAATATGAATGTCATCAGGCCCAGCTGCCGATGATCGGCAAACTGAGAGTGTTGCCTCCAGTTCCTGAAGTGTAAAAGGCACATTATACTGCTCTTCTCTGAGAGAAGAGAAGTCCAAGGATACTAACTCTCTGGCAGACTTTGAGGAAAGAAACAAGGGGCATAGATGGAGCCCCCAGGAAATACGGACCAAATGAGTGCCAATTTCAATGGCAACGTCAAGAGGATTTGGTACATCAACACTGGCGACCCGTAGAACAGGAGCCGGGTCAGGAGAGTATTTACCACTCAATTTCCTCGCTTTTTTCCAGACTGCACTCATAGAGGAAGCAGAGGTGATGGTGGAAACAATCTCGCCAGCAAGTGCGTTTAGCGTCATGGATGACACGGCGAGTGATCACACGCTTCTGCTTAAAATCAAGAAGTCTCTCATCGGTTCTATTGTACCGGTACCTGCCCCATGCAGCGCGTTTCAAACGTACTGCACGAGCACAAGCAGGAGACCACCAAGGCACTCACTTCTGAGAATGCCTGCCTGAGGTTTCGGGTACAGAATGAGAAGCTGCGGTAAAAACTGACGTCAAGAAGAGGTGTAGGAGCTCGTCAATGACTTTATACTACAGGTGTCCCTCACTTTATGCAGTAGTTGCTCCAAAGGTTCATGGCACATAAAACAATATCTCATAAACTGAACCCAATTTGATGTCTAAAATGATTGTGATTTTTTTTTTTTTTTTTTTTTTTTTTTTAACTCTACCTTGGTGGAGATGGCCAGCATTTTTAAAAAAAAGTTTCCGGGACTTGTAAATTACACATTTCTCAGTATATGGTTACCAATAAAATATGAGCTTGCTATACATGCACTAAATGATCATTCACAAAAAATGAAATGAATTTAATGAAAAAACAATTGGAAATGGTTGGATGAGAGGACTTTATAGCACAGGCCAGTAAGACTAATGCACTGCTCCTCTATTCTTTCATTCTTATTTACTAAAGTACAGGTTTGGCAATAGAGTTGCGTATGAGTGGGAATGGTTGGCTGAGAGTAGGACTTTCTTTGCACTAGCCATTATACTTAATTGTTTTATTTTGATGTAGGAAATAAATGCACTAAGATGTCGGGATGGGTGATCACAGAATAGCAAATTTATATTGCATAAATGGTAGCTTCTTTACCTTAGCCATAAGGAGGTGGTGAACTTTATTCCCAAGAGTCGCTTCATTGATGCAGGCTGATTACCCAGCTTGAAACAAAGTACAGGAGGACACTACATATATAACCCTTATTTTCAGTGTTCCATGTTTTCATTGGGTTTCAATTAAGCCATTGTTCCATCCACTGGTGACTATTGCTGGTAGGTGGAACATAATGAACAATAGCTCAATTTGAAGTCAACAAAAATGTGGAACACTAAAAAGAAGGTTCTGTACTGGCATACATCAGGAGTTTTGTAGGCTTCAACAACCTTACCAGTGTATGAAAAGATAGTAGTGGCCATGTAGCGATATAAATCACAAGTCGTGTAGTTAAACGGCAGTGGTCTATCACACTGACAGCCTGGTGGAAGAAGCCAGCTGCAACAGCTATACATTGTTCTTCAACCTTCCTACCTAAAGTTTCTGTAGATAACTTCACAGTTGGTGTTTGAACAGTTTTCAAGAACATAATTTATCACACACCTAAGATTGTTAGTTCATTGCATATGCTTAACAGCACACCTTGTGGTTGGATGTCCAATATGGCTGACTAAAATCAGCTGTATTGGACGATAGTCTTATGATTTCCAAACCTCAAAACTGTGCCATTATATGATAAAGGAGTACTGCATCCTAAAAGTTTCAGATATTTTGGGATAATATTAACAATAGTTAGATAATAAAATACTTGTATTCTTTCTCTTTTGTTAGGAACTTAGCCATCGTAAAGGTAGTGCAGGCATTATTCAAGACGCCATACTCCTCGGTGCTCCAGTACCTGGATATGCCAAAGAATGGCAAACATTTAGTAAGTTGTGACTGTTATTACTGTGCATCTTAACACAACTGAAATGTTTAGAATGTTTTTCGAGTTTCAAAATGCTGTACCTTAATAAATGTACATTTTGTTTACTTCGGTAGCCATCTCCCACCAAAAGGAAATGCATTCATCATCATTCAGTTCTTTCTTGCCAGAAATGGGCTGACATCACAATTCAGATGACCCTCCCACTGCAACTTCCCCACTCCTCTAAAGTGCAGGTACTGCCCTTCCCACCTCCAGGACTAAGCCCAGCTAACCAGTTTCCCAGTGTTTTTTTTTTTGTTATGCTGATCACACTCCAGCAGCATGTCCACTGAAAATACTCATCTCCATTCACTAGCATGCCTGCATACACCTGCTGAATGGTTAAACCCCTATAACTCGAGCCTCCTTTACACCTTCCCTCCAATTGTTCCTGTGAAGACCCCTCTCTCCTCTCTCCTACCTTCCACCCCAGATTTATATACACCAATCATCATCATGTCCCTCTCTTAATGCTCACAACTCCTCAGTTCTCTGAATTATACCCTTGGTGACCCCCACACTGCCTTAATTTCAACACCCCAAACCTTGTACCTGTTATTCGTACCACATGTTATCAAGCATATCTCCTCTGCCTCAAGCTGCCTTCTCACTACAGCATTCAAAGCCTGTGCCTCACACCCATACATTTCCTTTTTAATACCAGTGATGTTATACCAACAAGTTGATAAATTATTCACCTGTGCATGACTTTGATATCCTTAGTTTGGAGATGTTTCACTAACCTTTCCAACATTTCTTCAGAATCTTCCAAAAGAACATTGATCTGCAAAGAATAATTGTGTCAACTCCCACTTTGTATCAGATCAAGTATCTTTTAACCCTTTGACTGTTTTGGTCATATATATACGCCTTACGAGCCACCGTGTTTGATGTACATATAAATTCTAGCGGCTTCAAATCAAGCAGGAGAAAGCTGGTAGGCCCACATGTGAGAGAATAGGTCTGTGTGGTCAGTGTGCACCATATAAAAAAATCCTACAGCATGCAGTGCATTATGAGAAAAAAAACTCCAACTGTTGTTTTTAATTAAAATGCCAACTTTGTGGTCTATTTTCGTATAGTAATTATGGTTGTATTCTCGTTTTCTTGGTCTCATTTGATAGAATGGAAAACATATTATAGAAATAGAGGTGATTTTGATTGGTTTTACTTTGAAAAGACACTGAAAATGGAGCCGTCAAAGTAGGGAAATGTATGATTTTCCGATGTTCAACAGTAAACAAATGATGTCATTTTCCAATAAATGTCCAAGTAGCCATTCTGATATGCAGTCATGAATGGGTTGACATTATTTATACATAATTACAATATTGCAGTAGTCCTGCCACACAGTAAATCTTCTATTTTGTTTGAATAAAATTCAAAATAGAAAGCAAGGGTTAATATCAGAAGGGCCTGGAGGACGTGAAGAATGATGCACAAAGAAAATGTTAATTTAGAGCCAGGAATGTCTGGTTGTTCTTCTGGACCTTGTTTTTGAAAAAAATTGTCATACTTTTTAATTTTTCTGAAATTGGCCAAATTGCATTTCTGACCACGTTATTGGGTACTTGAATTCAGTAAATGGGGAGTTCTTGTACTTCAAACGATAGAAAAATGGAGTTCTAAAGGAATTGGCTATTGAGCTGGTTGACAGAACAGTGTGGAATAAGCTGGAAAATAGGGCTCAGTGGCGAAATCGGATTCGTAAATATCGACAAGGTTGCTACTTCGTGAGAGTGTAATTCCATCAATTTCCATTCTTTTGGTGTTATTACAATTGGGGAAAAGATTCTTATCATTTCATTGATTTTTTTTTTTTTTTAAATTTTGTGGACACCAGGATACCTCAGGATTTGGGGTTGCACAGTCAAGGGTTAATTCACTGATCTTTTAATTACACTTACACTACTCACTCTCACACACACCCAACAATGAGAGAGAGAGAGAGAGAGAATGAGAAATTTGGTCTTTCCCAAGCAGTGGGATTAATACCAGTGATCTTTACAGGATTATGGTCTCAGACGTAAACATTAATGGATATGTCGGGAGATTGGCTTCTACGGTTTTTATATGTTCATCATCAGGAAGTCTTGTATAGCTGGCCCTGATGCGAGTGACGGGCAAGACGGAGATGTTTAATTTTGACCTCTCTGATATTGTTACTGGTAAGGAAAACTAACATATTTAAATGAAATAAATACTTAAGAGTGTATCCAACAGTCAATCTTCCAGTTTGAACACAACTCGTATATGTTACGGCATAGTTTTCAACTCCATTTTTGAACTCTATGAGAAACCACAGTTTTATATGGATGCCTAAATTTTGGTTACTTTTTTGCTGACAGTTATAAATAGGTTTATTTCCATTTTTTCAAATCATGAAATATTTTATTTTGTGAAGGCAAATTCCTAGGAATCTGTACATACCTGTAGGTGAATAGGGGTAGCTGATTTAAAGGCCCATGCTTATATTCAAATTCATATTTTTATTTTTACTTATGCAGTACAAAAATATTGTAGTTTACATGTAATAAAACATTGTTAGGCACAAGAGAAAACCACTAGGATGCACTGCATTTCAATTAAACTAATCATCCATATCAAACTGTACATATAACTTGCATATAGGAGAGAGGAGCTTATGACAACATTTTGGTCTGACTTAGACCATTTACAAAGTCAGTGTGACTAAAAATTTTGTTGCCATTTTTGGGGGATCTAACATATGTAACTTATTTTTCTAATACATATGTTCATTTCATTTTAGATTATTTTTTTTTATTAGACACCATTTTCACAAAGATAACTACAGTCTTGATTGACAGTCAACAGTATATGGATAGTTAATTTATAAAACTGAGCTCTATACTTGCTTCCTCAAACAGGTCACATGGATTATGCCAACAAGATGGATACAATTCTCCGTCTTTTGGGTATTCGAACGCGAGATCCCGCCATTGACCTAGATCCAAGAATTAAAAAGAGTGCATCAGACTATCCTGGTTTTATGTCAATGCATGGAAAAATGGTGAGTAATAAGGTAGAGTATATAGTAAAGTTCTAGGTAGTAGGTTGGTAGACAGCAACCGCCCAGGGAGGTACTACCGTCCTGCCAAGTGAGTGTAAAACGGAAACCTGTAATTGTTTTACATGATGGTAGGATTGCTGGTGTCCGTTTTTCTGTCTCATAAACATGCAAGATTTCAGGTAGTCTTGTTACTTTACTTACACGCTTAGGTACACTAACACATAATGTACAAGCATATATTACACACCCCTCTGGGTTTCTTACTAGTTCTAGTCCTTTGTTTATTTCTTTATCTCCATGGGGAAGTGGAACAGGAAGTCTTCTTCCGTAAGCCATGCAGTGTTGTAAGAGGCGACTCTAAAATGCCTGGAGCAAGGGGTAGGAACCCTTCTCCTGTATATATTACTAATGTAAAAGGAGAAATTCGTTTTTCCTTTTGGGCCACCCCGCATCGGTGGGGATAGGGCGGTGTGTGAAAGATAGAGAAGATATAGTAAATACATAAGTGATCGCCAGATTTATGTCCTGGAGGGGTGGGAATTTTCAGTCAGAGGGTAAATTTGAATTGATGGGTCAGCACATCATTTGAATTAATGATGGTGGTGTATTTGCTGCTTTGGAGTCACCTGCCTCAGTGGGACCTGTATTTGGCATTGGGTAATGTATTTTGTGGGTAATGTATTTGGCATTGTCAGTGGTCTTAATTGTGGCCAATTAAATGTTTTTAATCAGAATGCAATTGGGCTTCCCATACTCACTTTATTGTTGATGGTTGTTAGACTATTTTTGCATCTGAAGTTTTATTACACCAAATTTAAACATGGCTATTTCACAGAGAGGAAAACTGCACCACTCTGAGAATGCCAAGTCATGCTACCAGTCCAACATCTTTTGATAGATTGCCACCATTTATTCATCACACCAACTTTGTTTTAAATCTCTCCTTCAAGGTTCTGACATGTTTCTGTACATTGTGCAGTAATGAATGACCCTTCCAAGTTTAACACTTTCTTTAAACAATAACATTATTACTCTACTATTGTAATTAGAAAATCTAAAATCCTTAAAGATATTCCATACCTGAATTAGTAGCAAGCAAGATGAATGATGTGAATAAAGTAAGTGAGATTATTTTTTTACAGAAATGTGTTAATGGGCTAATTGCAACCTTAATTAATAATATAGGATTATGGCATTACACAAATCCTTTGTACATTAAGTCACCCCTGAGTATATTAAGTGGGTGGAGGATCAGCCTTTTATCACTTTTGCACTGAATTATCCCATGTGGATTTAATTTGATTTCTGGAAGTGGAAGACAGTGTCTGTACTCTGGAGGGATTTAGAGATGTTGCACTTCAGAAGGTCATTTGAAGTGCGTTTCCCACACACTTAGGCAAGACAGCTTTTCACAGTGAGGTAAAGGTTTGTTTTTTTGGGGGCCCCCCCATCTATTCTTTAAACCCTTGACTGTCGAAACCCCAAATTCTGAGGCATTTTCTGGCGTTGGGGAAAAAAAAAAATCTTATAAAATGATAGAGAATCATTTCCCAATGGTAATGACACCAAAAAAAAAATGAAATTTGATGTAAAACTTACGGAATTACGCTCTCGCGAAGTTAGTGATCTTGGTGATATTTACGAATCGGGGATTTGCCCCTTTGAGCCCTATTTTGGGAAATTTCCCTTTGTTCCTCGCCCAAACTCAAGCTTTTTCTTTAGAACTCCATTTGTTCTATCGATCGAGTACAAGAAACTGCCCATTTACTGATTTCAACTACCCAGTAACGTGGTCAAAAATTTGCAATTTGGCCAATTTCACAAAAATTAAAAAAATGAATTTCAAAATAGGGTCCAGAATGAACAAAGCAGACATTCCTGGCTCTAAAATAAATTTTTCTTTGTTCATCATCACATCTCCCGGGCCCCTTTATATTACTCTTGCTTTTTATTTTTTAATTTTTATTCAAACGAACATAGAGATTTTTGTTTTGCAGACTACACAATATTGTAATTTTATAAATGTCAAAAACCCCTCATGGCGATATTAGAATGGCGTTGGACAAAACATTTTTTACTTTGACTCGGCAAAAATCAAACATTTCCCCCTTTTTGGCCCATTTTAAGGTTTTTTTATAGTAAAACCAATCAAAATCACCTTATTTTTTTAATAGTTTTCTATTCTATCAAAAGGGGACCAAAAAAGCGAGAAAACAACATAAATACACCACAAAGTCTGCGTTTAATCCAAAAAAAAAAAAAATTTGTTTTTGCACGTGTGCTGCAGGATTTTTTTTTTTAAGGGAACACTGACCAAAGACCCATCTCTCAGATGTGGGCCACCAGCTTTCTCCGTTTGATTTGAACCTCTAAATTTTTGATATACAGTGTAACCAAACAAGGGGGCTCATGAGACTAATATTTTTTTTTTTTTTTTTTTTTTTTTTTTTTTTTTTTTTTCAACAAGTCAGTCGTCCCCCACCGGGGCGGGGTGACCCAAAAAAAAAAAAATCCCCAAAAAAAAATACTTTCACATCATTCAACACTTCACCACACTCAAACATTATCACTGCTTTTGCAGAGGTGCTCAGAAAAACAAATTTTAGAAGCAAATACATAAAAGATACACAACAAATCCCTCCAAACTCCCAAACCCCAAACCCCCTCCTTTAAATGCAGGCATTGTATTCCCCATTTCCAGGACTAAAGCCCCCGCTATATGAAAATAACTGGTTTCCCGAATCCCTTCACAAAATTTTACCCTGCTCACACTCCAACAATCGTCGGGCCCCAAGATCATTCGTTCCATTCACTCCTACAAAATGCTCATGCACCTTACGGAAGTCCAAGCTCCCGCCCACAAAGCCCCTTTACCCCCCCTTTCCCCAACCCTTTCGAGGACAACCCCTACCCCTCTTTCCTCCCCTAAGTTTTATATCTTTCCATGTCATTCTATTTTGACCCAAATTCCCTAAATACCAAACCACCTCAAAAACCCCCCTTTTCTGCCCCCTACTAATCTTTTATTAACCCCCAAACCCCTTTCTCCAAATTTTCCACACTCCAAATTTTTCTGCAAAAATTTTACACCACACTTTGCCCTTAGACGGACATCTCCACTGCCCCCAAAACCGTCTCCTCGCTGCGAAATTTCCCACCCAATTTCACATCCATAAAGATTTTGGTACTACTATACTTTCATACTTTCCCCTCTTTGTCTCCATAGATAACTTTTTTTTGACTCCACTATACCTCACGCACCACCACCTTTTTTCCCTCATCAACTCTATGATTAACCTCATCCTTCATAAATCCACCGCCGACACGTCAACTCCCAAATACTGAAAACATTCACTTCTTCCATACTCCTCCTCCCCAATTTGATATCCAATTTTTCTTTATCTAAATCATTTGTACCCCTCACCTTTCTCTTTCATGTTCACTTTCAACTTTCACCTTTACACACATTCCAAACTCACCCCTAACCTTTGCAAATTTTTTTTTAGAATCTCCCCTAAACACAGTACATCACAAAAAATAACTGTCAAATTTCCCATTTTTAAATTTTATTCCCCTAATTTAATCCCACCCCCCTCCCGAACACCCTAGCATTTACTTTTTTTCCCAACCCCATCTATAATAATTTTAAAAAACCCTGGGGGGACATTACCATCCCTGCTAAACCTACTTTTCCGGGGAAATATTCTCCCCCCTTTACACAAACCCCAACCGACCTCACTATCCCATAAAAGCCTTTCGCATTTAGTAACTTACCACCTATTCCTATACTTTCAACACCCACATTGCTCCCTATCCAAACCCATCAATGCCTTTTCTAAAAACCCTAAAGCAATAAAAACTTCCTACCCTTTTTCAAATACTGTTCACATATATTTCAATGTAAACACTTTATCCACAAACCCCTACCCCTCTGAAGCCTCCTTCTCATCCGCAATTTTACATTCGTTTGCCTCAATTCTTTCAATTAAACTCTAAAGTATACTTTTCCTATTTTACCAGTAAACATTCCCTATAATTTTTACAATCTCTTTTTTTTCCCCTTTCCCTTTTTATAAAGGGGTATACATGCTCCCTGCCAAACCCCAGGTACCTTCCCCTCTTTTTTACTTTATTAAAAAAAAATACCAACCCTCCAACACTAAAAACCCCCCCCCCCCCCCCCCTTTTAACATTTCGTCATGATCCCATCAGTTTTGAGCTGCTTTAAACCCCCCTTTTATTCTAGTAATGCCCACTACCTCCACCACACTTTCATCGCTCTTCTTCACTCCTAAAAAATGGTATACCCCCCCCTGCCCGTGCATGAAATTAAACCCCCCCTCCCTTTCTTCCCCAACATTAAAAGTTCCTCAAAAAATTCTCGCCATCTACCAAAAACCCCCCCTCTCCCCATCACAACTCCCCCACCTGTTTTTAACGGACAAAAACCCAAATTCCCTAGGCTTTCTTTAAATTTTTAAATCACTCCCCAAAAAATTTTTTTTATTTTCTTAAAATTTCTTGACAGTGCCTCTCCCACTCTTTCATCTGTCTCCTTTTGCACTCTCTCACCTCTCTCTTTACCTTTCTTTAATCTCCAATACCCCTTTTTATAACACTTCTGCTTTAAAAACCTCTCGTAAGCAAACCTTTTCTCTTTATCACAACCCTTACTTCACATTCCACCAATCACTCCTCTTTCCTCCTGCCCCCCCCCTCCCTTTAAACCCCAAAATTCTGCCCCACATTTAATATGCATTTTTAAAACTGTTTCCCAAACCCTTTTCAACCCCCCCCCCCCCCCACAACTCACTTTGCCACCCACCTTTCTGCCAATAGTCCTTTTATCCGCCCAACTTCCCCCCCTTATTTTTTACCTTTTCCCCCCTCCCTCTTCTTGTTGTTGCCACCTTTCCCCCCCTTTTCCCATCTACCCCCTTTCTCTAACGTAGCTACAACTAAAATATCCGATATATCCCTTGCCCCCCTAAAACATGTAACCTGGGGGCCTACCCATCAACCTTTTTATCCACCAA